CCACCACCACCACCACGGGGCCCCCACCACCACCATGGGGCACCCAACACCATCACCATGGGGCATCCAACATCACCATGGGGCACCCAACACCATCACCATGGGACACCCAACATCACCATGGGGCACCCAACAATACCACCATGGGACACTCAACACCATCACCACGGGACACCCATCACCACCATGGGGCACCCAGCACCATCACCATGGGACATCCAACATCACCATGGGGCACCCAACACCACCATGGGGCACCCAACACCATCACCATGGGGCACCCAACACTACCATGGGGCACCCAACTCATGGTGGGCACAGGCTGCTCCTCAGCCCCAGGCTTCCTTACTCTTGGGGCCATCCCTGGACCTTGACGCCTCACCCGTCCTCTCTTGGTCCACAGGAGAAGATCAAGACCATGTTTGAGCAGCTGGTGCTTGTGGATCACCCCAACATCGTCAAGCTTCACAAATACTGGCTGGACGTGAAGGACTCGAAGGCGCGGGTAGGGACCCCTCGGGGACCCAAAGGGCCCGGGGGGGGACCCCAAGCTGAGGGAGGGATGCCCATGGGAGCCAGGGGGTGCTCCCAGCTCTGCTCCTCACCCCGCTCCCAGGGCTCCCCATCCTTCCCCAGGACAATGCTGCTGGTGCAGCCCACGCACACAGCAGCTGATGCCCCCCTTTCCCCCCAGGTCATCTTCATCACCGAATACGTGTCCTCAGGGAGCCTGAAACAGTTCCTGAAGAAGACCAAGAAGAACCACAAGGCCATGAATGCCCGGGTAGGTGCCCTGAGAGTGTGCAGGGGGTTCTCAGGTGGGGTGGGCACCTCTGTGGGTCTCCTACGAGGCACAGCAAGTGTGAGTGGTTGCTTCTGAGTCACCCAGGGGCTCTCTGCTGTGGGGAGAGAGCATCTTGGGGAGGGCTGGAGCAAGAGAATTTTAGGAAGAATTTCCTTACTGAAAGAGTGGTCACTGGCAGGGGGGGGCTGCCCAGGGCAGTGGTGGAGTCCCCATCCCTGCAGAGGTTCACAAACCGTGTGGATGTGGCACTTGGGGCCGTGGTTTGGTGGCCATGGTGGGGTTGGGTTGACGTTGGATTTGATGATCTTGGAGGCCTTTTCCATCTCCTATGATTTGATGAAGAGCAGAACATGCCCAGGACAGCCCAGAAATGGGTCCCGCTGGGACCCCAAGGGTTGGACCCTGCTGCAGTGAGGTTCAGCTGCGTGATGTTGACCGCTGCCGTGGCTGCTTCAGGAGACCTGCGTCTCTATCACCCTCAACGAGGGACGGTGGCCTTGTGGCTACTGCTTGGCTTAGGGGGACCGGTTTAACCTGCAAACCCACTGGGAACGGGTCTGACCGGTGGTTTTGTGGCAGGTCTCAGCTGGCTGGGACTGTTCTGGGGCCCTGTGCTGGGCCCTGCCATGAAGTTTGAGCTCAGAGCCACACCAGCGCAGTTAGGAACACCTGGAACTGAGACTCACTGTTGGTGTGTGCAGAGAAAACCACGCACATGGACCCACAACCAGAGCTTTGCCTCCTCTGTGGGCATCGAATGACAGAATCATTTGAGTGGAAAAGCCCTTTGAGATCATCGAGTCCAACCATGCCCTGGTCACCACCAAAACCATG